AAAAAAAAAAAAAAAAGGTAAACTTCAATCCAAAAACAAACAGAATGGCTATGTTGCCTCCACTCCGACCTCGGATGCGGTTATGTTCTTGGTAACTTCTCCAAACACAGTGTTGACTATATCGGATCCAAGTTTGTGCTGATTCCTTGGTCGGTAGTAATAGTCTTCGAAGGTGTTGCTTGCCAAACTCCAGTTCGCATGCAGTTTTATTTGTTCTATTGGGACGCATAAAGACACTGCCTTCGTGCTTGCTGCGGATCACAAAGAATGCGCTTTGAACTTATTTGTACCTTCCAGCCACCTGCTGACTGTCTTAGGTTGAATCGATTTTGCGGGTGTACAGCCATTAACTAAGTGACGTGTTTGATGAGATAATCATTATAATAACTCGAGTATAATCTTACAGTAGAGCATACATTCTACTTTACATTCCTCTATTGCATCTGATAAGAATAACTTATAATAACAATTATAGTAGCTATTAGTATAACAGTAATAATATAAACATATTTTTTTTTGTAGGGGCATAAAAGCCAAATTTTATTTATTTACAAGTCACCTACCAAAGGCAGCGGTGAACTAGGAAAATCGAAGTACAAGAAAATGAAGTAAAAAGGAAATAAAATCAATATACTATACTAACTATGGAAAAGTGAGGTTGTCAGTCCTTGGTGGGGCTAACGACTGCACCACTCGAATAGCTTCTTGAAGCATCAGGGTAGGTACGAAGGGCGTAAAATCAAAAATAAAACGCCAGTGTGCTTTCCATATCATCAACAAGCTGCATCCAAAGATACTAGAGGAATCAAGAGATTGCGCTGAATTCTGTTGAGGGAAATTCAGGTATAAGATTGCCTACAGTAGTGCATGACGTGACCATGAGGACAAAGGGAAGAAGTGGGCCCAAATGAGCTTCCAAGCGAGGTACTTTTTTCTACAGTCAATTAAGAAATGACAAGTGGTTTCTGAAGGTGAACCCCGATTGCACAGACGGCAGAAAGGAGAGAAAGAGGGAGTGATCTTGTGTAGATTGGAAGCGGCAGGTAGCGTACCATGAATCAAACGAAACCAAACGTTTCGAGCCGGCAAAGGGACATCCATGCGCCAAAAGGTTTTCCAAAACCTGACTGAATTACCTAGTGCGACTGAGGACTCTTTAGCCTGTGAAAGGGATGCTTTACGAATAAGCTTTCGCATGTGAGAAGGCTGGATTAGCTGGGTCTGATGATCGACTAATGGGGTAACCAACGGCAGAATTGTATCATCGATGGTGGTTTGACCCAAAGTACCATCATGTAAGCCAATTTGAGAAGGCAACATTAGACGAGAGAGAAAAAGTGATAAGCACACAGAGTGCGAGTCTAACAATTGATACAATCGAACCACACGGTTACGTCCGCGTTTAACAACGCGCTTCTCTTCTGCTGTTAGTCTGCGTCGTATAAATTGCAGTTGAGGATCGAAAATGAAAGCATCCTA